TTCACATAAGATAGTTATCTTATGTGGTAGAGAGAAAATGGGTGGGTCCCACCATTACAAGAAAAAAGAAAAAGAAGAAAAAAGTGGGGTGCGAAAATCGAAGTGAGAGAAAATGAGATAAGTTACCTCGTGTAAAAGAAGAGTAATATTTTCCTTATTTTTTATACTCTTTCTAATAAGTTAAATTAAAAAAATGCTATAACTAAATGATAAACAAATATTCTTTGGAAATATAAGTGAATGTAAATCACAGCACTTTAGGTTATTAGCTCGGTTACATTTGATTATGTTTTTTCATTATATTAAAAGTTTGATATCTTAACAATAAGAGTAAAAAATCCAAAGAAAGAATGTGATAGGTTATTCTACTTATCTTCTTTTCATGTCTACCACTCTCTAACATCGTTGTATCAAAATTTCATCTAACATTTATCATTTCTCTCTCATCTTGAAATTCTGATTTAACAGTATTGGAAATAGTAGGCATAAAAAAAAACTAGAATTAACTATCCCTTAAAGAATTAAAAGAAAAATGTGTTTTTAAATTTGCTACCCCTAATCTCAAACTCTAAGAAACGTCTGCATATAAAAGACTTTTTTTGTCTTCTTGTCGTGTACATTCGGTTCAAAGAATGAGTACACATCACTTTCTTTGTCAAATGGCTAAGGAAAAATATATACTTTCACGAAAATAATAGACTCTAAGTAATCAAGGATTTGCGTCAAATATCCTATAATTAACAACCATTGATCATTTTTGTATCCAAAAAAAAAAAAAAACCATTCATTTTTTACTTTTTCTCTCTCTCTAATCAAACGATTCATGTATCTCTGAGAAAATTTTGGTGCAAGAAATATTTCTGAAATAATTTAACTTCTCATTAAATTTTAAAACAGAAAGGATTAACATCCATAAATTTTTGTCGCAAAATACACAGCACATGCGAGTCACTGACTCACTGGATGGAGAGGAAAGAAAAAAGGGAAAAAGTAAATTGGATAAAATGAGAATATGTAAAATGGGGAAATTAAGCAATAGCGGACTATGTTAGGGAAGGAGGTATATGACTAGGTGAGCCAAAAAGGGAGTTTGATATTTCACATAATATATGAAAATGAAAATTTTATATGAGTTTTTTTATATAATTTTGTCATGTGAAAAATTTGTATTTAATTTATTTTTATAAATTTTGATACGACTTCACTAATTTAATATCTATCAAAGAAATAAAGGAAAAATGATATCAATTTTTAATTTAATTTTGAATGAAGCAAATTTTCTTAACAAATAATTCATTTTAAAATTGATTGGATTTATACAATGATTTAGAACACCTATCTCTTGAATTGATATATCTAATATCAATTATCCTCAGCCGCAATAATTAAAAAAAGAAAAGAAAATATATCAATCACAAGTGTGCACTGAACATGATCTTCCATTCCTCCTTATATGTAAACTTGACTTGGACTTTGATAGAAAAAGTGCGCAGCGCAGCCAAGAGAATAAATGGATTATGGGGAAAATGTTTATGCAGTTATCGCAGATAAGTTATCTGTATTAATTCTCCAAACGATATCGTTTTGGTATTAAAATTTTAAAAAAAATATAAATATAAAGACTATTATAACCCTGAAATAAATTAAAATTACAAAAATATCGTGATTTCTGCCCCAAAAAACGACGTCGTATTGGACTTGCTGCAGATAAGTTATCTGCAGCAAGCCTAATACGACGTCGTTTTGGGACGAAATCATGGTGTTTTTATAATTTTAATTTATTTCAGGATTATAATAGTCTTTATATTTATAATTTTTTAAGATTTTAATACCAAAACGACGTCGTTTTGGAAATAAATGTAGATAATTTATCTGCATTAACTGCTGAAACATTTTTTCCTATATATATATATATATATATATATATATATATATATATATATAAGGAAATGTTATATTTACAAACTTTTTGTTTACAAACTACACTAAGTATGACTGGTCATACTTCAATCAATAGTGTATGATCAGTCATACTTAGTGTAATTTGTAAACGGATCTTTTCTCATATATATATACAGGGAATATATATATATATATATATATATATATATATATATATATAGGGCTTATGGTTTCTCAAGTTGCTTGAGATAACTTTATTTCCGGCTACTAAATTATAACCGTACAAAGATGGATCAATGGTAATAAAGGAAGAGAGAGAAAAGGGAAACATACTCATTCAAAGGTGAATCAATTAATATAAGAAAATAAATAAACAAAACGACGTAATTTTTGGGTGGACGGAGATAAATATATCTCAAGCTGCTTGAGAAATATTTTTCTCATATATATATATGTAGGGATAGGTTATTCTGCCTACTTTTATTTTGCCTACATTTGCCTACCCCTTTCAATGTCGTTGTCGAGATTTACGATATAAAATAAACTCTTTTACCCTTTTCTCTCTCCCATTGCCTCTCACTCTTTCTCTCTCCTCCCCTTTCTCCCTCTATCGATTTTTGTAATTTACAACATGAAGTTATACTTGAATCTAAATCCATGCAATGATCAATGGCATGATACTTATGTTGGATGAGTATAATTTTGAAAATTTCTTGAATCAGATATAATTGAACATGGCAGAAACCACAAAATTACAAAAACACGAATAACCCTTCATTGAATTAATTCACGATTACCGTAACGTTTCTACTTTGCTATTGAAATTTGAAACGAATAAACTTATCTCATTCTTCTTATCTTATTTTTCACCTTGAAGTGGGGAGAGGATATTTGTTCTCTCTATGTTACGCCCACAATAGACCTACATGGTTCCATAACATAGGGCATCTGGGTTTATTTCTTCTTGACACCCAATTTTAATTTTTTAAATAAATTCTCATAACAAATGATTGGTTGGATGGATTGATAAAAAAGTTTGCTCCTTTTTTTTATGTTGAAGCGCCATTGAAGGAGAGAAAGGGGAGGAGGGAGAAGGAGAGAGAGGCAATGGGAGAGAGAAAGGGGTAAAAGAGTTTATTTTATATCGTAAATCTCCGTCGTTAGATGAGATTATAATCTAACGATATTGAAAGGGGTAGGTAAAATAAGAGTAGGCAGAATAACATATCCCATATATATATATATATGTTTAATGTTCTTATGTTATTAGGGATAAATTTATCTGTTACATATATATATAAAAGTGTGTGGGGTCTATTTTTTTCTCTTTTCTCTTCACATGTGTATATATCTAGGGTTTATTGTTTGTCATGTCATGTCACATAACATAAGATTATGTCATGTCACCCCAAAACTACGTCATTTTGGAAGTTTGGAGAATAAATGAAGGGTATTTTGATATAATTTATATAATAAATAAACAAATAAAAATTTCAAAACATCCTTCATTAATGCCCCGAACTCCTAAAACAACGTAGTTTTAGGATTTATTAATTAATTACTGATTTCTTATAAATTATAATCATCAATTGACGGAAATCAATGTTAGGATTTGATATCAAATTTTAAAGTTTGACACTAATGTAAAGGTTCAGTGGCGGAGCCACATATAGCGTGGGTGTGGCCTCAGCCCGAGCTAAATTTTAACAAATTGTATTTATTGTATATAATTATATAATTAATTATAATATGGCCCAGATTAAAATTGTAATGTGACTCAGGCTATAATTTGTAATTTGGTCCAGTGTAAAACTTAAGATATTTTTGATGAAAGATTTGGGTAAGTTGTATTAAGTTATGTCTCTAATTTTCACTTGTATTAAAAAAATAAATTATTTTGAGTAAAATTAAAAAATATTTAATAAATTATAAACACTTCTTAGTGTTGCTTGCTCAGGTGTTCTGTATTTAATATAATTTAAATTTATTCTAATTAAAATTAAGAAAAATAAATACACACATAATTTTTTGATCCGAGCTCAAATTGGATCCCGGATCCGCTACTGCAAAGGAGCCTGCCATATATATATGTAAGGTTTGTTGTTTGTCATATCATATTACATAAGGTTATGTCATATCACACCAAAATTATGTCGTTTTGAAAGTTTGAGGAATTAATGAAAGATATTTTGGTAAAATTTATATAATAAATAAACAAATAAAAATATCAAAATACCTATCATTAATTCTCAAAACTCCCAAAATAACATAGTTCAGTGTTTATTGTTTGTCGTGTCACATGACATAAAGTTATATCATATCACCCAGAAGAAAAACTAGGTCATTTTGGGAATTTTACATGACAGGACCATAAACAGATTCGAATTTGGATCTTCGCAAAAAATATCTAAGCATTCCCTTAATTTCCTATTTATCATGTAAAACGTGTCAAGTGAAAGCGAGCCCGGGAGGAACTTTCAGCATCATGCTTAGAATAATAACAGAGGCATTCAGAATTATGGGTCTTCTTTTCTCCTAACTTATTTACATGCTAATTATTTTTATTTTTATTTTCATTTTATTTTTTTGGCACGAATTTGTTACATTTCACGTGATTCACAGTCTTGAGATGCTTCGATTTTAGGACAATTGGGTCTCCTAGGTATCTAACATTGACTTGGCAGTTTATATATGTCTTTCCCTATAAAAATGATTCACAATATTGGCAGACCAAGAATCAAGTTACACATTTCTTCTATTCTTCTACCATTTTACTGTTGAGTAATCGTAAAGGAATATAGGAAAATATATATGCACTTTAGAACTTCAGAATGGCAATGGTAAAAGAAATTATGGGACAATCTATGGTGGAAGCATTTTGCTTTGATGCTTCAAGAGGGTCTTCACATCTTAAACGTTGCACTCGGAGGCACAAAATAGTTTCCTTGCACCCCATTTCCTCGAGTTCAATTCTTACATCACAAGAACTGAAGATGGTGGAGCAACAACCTGCCCCACTAGCATCCTTTCCCAAAGATGAGTTCAGGAGAGAACTTGCTCTGAGTCCCGTGACTTTGACCATAACGGGAACTGTAACTATCAAGAATAGTAAGGCTTCAGAGGAGGAAATTATGGCCATGATGCTTCAACATTTTGATGCTTTCAACAATATCGTTGGTGGAAGAGAAATGGTCATGCAGCTAGTTAGCACTGAAATTGACCCCAGTAAGCCCTAATCTTCCTCATATTAATAGTTCTTGTATTATATATTATATTGAATCAGGTAACAAATTATTAGAGTTTAATTTCCAATAATGAAAGTGTTGGATAAGGCATGGATTACACAATAAGAGCTAATTTTCTTGTTCCACTACATTCTTCATTTTCGTATGCAGGGTAAGTCATATCCTCATTGCAAGAGACTTAACTAAATACCATTGTTTTTATCAAGTTGAAAAGCATTAAGTATTTGTACATACAGAATGAAATGTTATATTTATAAATTTTTTGTTTACAAATACATTATGTATTCTCAGAAATACACTAGGTTACGCTATGTACTTTTAGGAGTACATAGTATAATTTGCAAAAATTTGTAAACGAATCTTTTCCGGTGTATATATACTTAATTAATCTTTGTTTATTCCTTGTCAAGTTTTCAATTATTAGTATTTGACTTCTTTGAGTGCCCTATAAAATTGAAGGAACAATGGAGCCAAAGCTGAGCAACAAAGCAGTATTGGAGTGGTTGAAATACTACAAGGTTGGGGCTGAGAGGTCAACATACAAAGTAGAATTTGAGATAGATTCAAATTTTGGGTTCCCAGGGGCTATTACTGTGACAAACAAATATGACAAAGAGATATTTTTGGAAGGCTTTTCCATTGAAGGTGTTATGGATATTGCTTGCAATTCTTGGGTTCAACCAGAGAAGATTCATCCAGAGAAGAGAATTTTCTTCAGCAACAAGGTAATATATATTGTAATAATTATATACACAATAAGAAAATGGGCACTCTAAGTATTGGGTATTATTGCTTTGCTTGTAATTGTAATTGATTTTACATTGTGATTTAATTAATTAAGCAGGCATACTTACCTTGTCACACACCAATGGGACTGAAAGAGCTAAGAAAAGAAGAACTAAGGCAGCTAAGAGGTAATGGAAAGGGAGAAAGAAAGGGAAGTGAAAGAGTATATGATTATGATGTGTACAATGACTTGGGAATTCCAGACAAAGGAAATGAATATGTGAGGCCAATATTAGGGACCAAAGAGTATCCATGTCCTAGACGATGCCGAACTGGTCGTCCTTCTTCAACAACCGGTGAGTTTTAGCTCCACATGTTTTCTGCATGGATCAACACAGTTAATATCATGACTTTAATTTTGTCTTACCTGGTGTGCACTTGTCGGCTCATGTCTTGTCACATTATTAAGAAGAAGAAAAAAGTAGACTAGGATTTTTTTAATTTACTTTTTGGGTGGCAGTAAATATGGATCGTTTATATTATCAAATTACGTGTGTTCGGTGGAAGATTTAAGTTCTCCCTTTTTGGTAAAACGATATCTTAGATACATATAATTTATGAAGCACCGACACTTCAAAAATCCTGACGTGTCGTGTCCGATACTTTCTGACACTCTCGGACACCCCGACACTCCAACGGACGTTATAGAAATTCAAAAAAAAATTCAAAGGTTAAGTTGCGTTGAGTTTTTAGTTCTAACTATTAAATTTATTGAATTACGATTGCAATTACCATTTTATTAAATTTAATATAAATATTTGAGATATCTTATGTTTTTTTGCAAAATTTATGAATATTATAAGTTTAGATACATTTTTTTGTTAAATTGTTGAATATTAAATATAATATATACTACATAAATTAAAAATATTATTTAATATCAAAATATGTCCTAACATGTCAAAATCTAACATTTTTTAGAATAACGTGTCGGAGTGTCGTGTCGTATCGTGTCATGTGTCAGTATCGGTGTTATATAGCATATAATATAAACTATGAGATGGTTGTTTATCAAATTCTATGTGATCACTTGGTGATAAGTTCAATTCTTATTATCATCCTTATTCTATTGAAAATAATAATTAAATAATAAAATTAAATAAATACAAGATAAATCATAAAAAAATGGGTCTGTGTATAAAAAAACTTTTGCGTGATGAAATATATTTGAGAAATATAATATAAAATTATTGAAAACTCATTATTTAACAAAAATGAACATGTGCAATATTAATGTTTTAAACTCAAAGAGCTTTGTGTGAGAGGTGTATTAAAGAGATATAATAAAAAATCATTGAAGGTGTACAAATTTAAACTTTTAGGTGAGATAATTGTTTATTAGGATATTCATATTTAGGTATTTTTTTTACTAATTTTTCTGGTTTTTTTAAGATGTACGTCCGTTATTTTATTTTTTCACGTGTCTTAATCATTTTGTATGATGTTATGACATATTTTTCTCATTGAATGCTATTTTAACTTTCTTCTTAAACATTTTATACGATATTTTGACATCTTTTTCTCATTACAATATTTTCTTTTTCTTTTTTTCCCATCCATAATTGAAAATGCATGTGTAGCTCACATTACATAAAAATTTATAAAATTTCCGTTCAAAGTTATAAAGTTACAAACTTATACGAAAAAGTTAAAGAAAAATATTCTATTAAAGGTTACAAGGTTAACATTGATTAAAAAAAAATTGTAATATACTACTTTTTTCAGAAGTAGTACCATAAAAAATCCGTTTAATTTTTAGATATTTTTCTAGAACAAATGACGTAAATTATATCATCAAATAATTAATTATGTTTTTAAAATAGTGACAAATTTTGAAAATAACAATCTTTTATACTTGTAGTTAATAGTCAAAAGTACTATTCAAATTTTAAAAATATATTCAAAACAAAATATAGGAATAATCGTCAATAGTTTCACATTAACTTATTTTTATTTTTATTTATTTTGTTAACCATTACAGACAAGAATACTGAGTCCCCCGCAAATGCATTCATGGAAACTTATGTGCCAAGAGATGAAGTCTTTGAAGGTGTGAGAAAGGAAGCTTTTGATGTGGAAAGAGTAAAAGGGGTAACTCGGAATTTGATTCCATTCATAAGAACTTGTGTTACGAAGTGTGGAGATTTCGAGCAGCTTTCAGATATTCAAAAGATCTACAAGAGAAAGCATGTGCATGAAATAAACCCCAAGGAGGGAACCACAACAAAACCGTCTTTTCCTATGGATGGAAGCAGGATCCAAGATGCCATACAAGAGTATTTTAAATTTGATACTCCACTTATTATTAGTGGTACGTAAGCTGCTAATAGCAGTATTACTTTCTCCATTCCGTACACATATATCGTATTCGAAGAAAAAGTTTAAAAGTGACTGATACTTATTTATTAATATTTTTTGGGGGCAAAAGAAAAACCAAGAAAAAAAAAAATAGTTTTCTTTTCGTTCATACTCAGTCAGGATGAAAATCTTCTATTAAAGACAAAGCTGGTTAAAATTTCAGGGAATGGTTGCTGTATACGAGATGAGGAACTTGGGCGTCAGGCATTGGCCGGTATCAACCCTCTCAGCATAAAAAGGCTTGAGGTAATTACAAAAAACGACCGAGTGCGTATTCTTTTAAAAGATATAATTTATATTTTTTTAGTTTTTTACTCTGTATTTTTTGTGGTACATAATTATAATATGAAAAAAAAAATTTACTTTTCACGTCAACTGATGTGATTGAGAAAAGAAAAAAAAAAAAAACTTTTCATATTATAACTATATAATATTGAGAGTACATAGAGTAAAAAAATTAAATTGACACAACTTATATTCTTTTAAAGTACAAATAATTTTCCTTTACAAAAAATGGGAAAAAAATGAAAAAAAAAAAAAAAAAAAACTCACTTTTCCTTTTGTGTTATCATGGTTACAAAATGAACAACAAAAATAATAAGATTAACTTTAAATCAATATTTTACAAAATAGATTGGATTAATCTCTCAAAATATTAGTTTGAATCAATTAAATTTTCCAAATAAATATTCTGATTAGTTTTTTACTCTAAAAACTTGATAGATTTTCCCACCGGTCAGTAATTTGGATCCCTCCATACATGGTGGACAAGAGTCCGCTCTAAAAGAAGAACACATAATAAGCCATTTGGACGGAATGTCCGTACAACAGGTACGCAACTCAATAAATTTTACTTCTCAAAGTATTTGAACAGTTTTTTTTTTTTTTTTTCATCTGTTATGCACAACTTCATCCGACACTACTATAAAGATTTCTTTTTCTTTCTTTCCTTTTTTTTGTGTGTGTTTGGAGACTGGAGTTTTTCTTACTTTGTTTAAAATCTGTTTGTTTAGGCATTGGCAGAAAAGAAGCTATTCATTTTGGATTATCATGATGCTTATCTCCCATTTCTGAATCGCATCAATGCTTACGAAGACAGAAAAGCTTATGCAACCCGTACTATCTTGTACTTGACACGAATAGGCACTTTGAAGCCTATTGCCATCGAGCTGAGTCTTTCACAGGGGAAACCATCCAAACAGGTCCTTACCCCTCCTTTGGATGCCAACTCTTATTGGTTATGGCAAATTGGGAAAGCACATGTTTGCTCCAATGAAGCGGGTTTTCACCAACTTGTCCATCATTGGTATGCAATTAATTAATTTAAATTGAATTTCACATGCAATCATCCAATTCATTATTCTCACTATGGAATGTGAATTGATGTTTCCATAACAGGTTGAGGACCCACTCATGCATGGAGCCATTCATCATAGCAGCTCATCGCCAACTGAGTGTTATGCACCCTGTTTTCAAACTTCTGAAGCCTCATTTGAAACACACACTGCAGATAAATGCATTAGCTCGTGAGGCTCTCATCAACGCAGGAGGCATCATTGAATCTGACTTTTCTCCAGGGAAATACAGTACAGAGATTGTCTCAGCTGCCTACAGAGACTGGTGGCGTTTTGACATGGAAAGCCTTCCTGCCGACCTTATTAGAAGGTTCGTCTACTTGGATACAGGAACACATTACTTTTTCCCACACGAGTTATTTTGTACATTTTCAAACGAGACAATTGTAAACATGTGATCTCATGATCTTGTTCTTATCATTATGCAGGGGACTGGCAGAACCTGACCCAACACAGCCCCATGGGCTAAGACTACTTATTGAAGATTACCCTTATGCAAATGATGGGCTTCTTATCTGGTTTGCTTTGGAGAACTTGGTTAGGACTTACGTGAATTACTACTACCGTGATGGGCTCATGGTCCGGTCAGACAGTGAGCTCCAAGCGTGGTATAATGAGGCCATCAATGTTGGCCACACTGATCATGCAAACGCAAGTTGGTGGCCCACACTCTCCACTCCAGGTGATCTTACCTCAATACTCACCACCCTCATATGGATTGTTTCAGTCCAGCATTCAGCAGTGAATTTTGGGCAGTACCCTCTTGGTGGGTATGTCCCAATGCGCCCCCCACTTATGAAGAAGCTGTTACCCAAGGAGGAAGATCCAGAGTACAAAGAATTTGTGGAGGACCCTGAAGGATACTTGTTGTCTTGCTTGCCAAATTTGTTTCAAACCACCAAGTTTCTGGCAGTGGTTAATATACTATCTCAGCATTCGACGGATGAAGAATACATAGGGCAGAGGAAGGACTTGTCAGATTGGGCTGGTGACCCTGATATCAGAGAAGCATTCTATAAGTTTTCCATAGATCTAAAGAGAATAGAAAAGGAGATTGAGAAGAGAAACAGAGACCCAAAACGTAGAAATAGATGTGGTGCTGGAGTTCCACCGTACGAGTTGCTCATAGCAAGCTCTGCTCCTGGAGCTACTTGTAGAGGGGTGCCTAATAGCATAAGCATATAGACGACAAGAAAAGATGCCAAAATTTTTACTCCGAACAATATGTTAACATTATAACCCCTCGAGGTAAAACTAGTTAAAGGCACCACACAGTGATAACGGAATTAGGTAGTACTCTGAGTCTACAGAGATAATGTAAAGTTGCAAAAGTATGTACTTATGTATAAAGTTATTTAAATATGTCCGTTAATGAGATCTTTGCTCAGTCACCGCCTTACAATTGAGAGCTTATAATGAGATCTCTTTAATCACTACCTACCTAAATGACATCGAGTTCTAAAATGACAAAAAGGCCAAATCCATTTGTAACTCTTCAACCCTAAATATGTCCGTTAAAAAATGGTATACTAGGTCATCTATAATAAAAATAAAATAAAATAAAATAAAAAACTAAATTTTCTTACAAATAAATTCATCACATATATTTGTAGAAGTATTTTGGATCAAAATATATTAGTAAAAGTTAACAAAGACAACCATGAATATCGCTAGCCACCTATCCATTTCTCCATTTATAACTCTTCAACCCTAAAAATGTGTATAAGAGATATATCTAATAGATCCTTTATAAACAGAATAGGAAAGAGATGCTATATATTGCGCTATGGAGACATTTCTTGTTCTTACAAAGAATTCATGAGAGGGTGGTATTTGTAAAAATTAACAAATTCAACTAAGAAATTTTAAACTCCATTTAACATAGATGCAGTAAGTAATCAAAAAATGATAAATAGTACAGAATACAAAAACTCTCAACTACAGAGATAGAGTTCAAGAAAGACAAATACCTTTCAACCAAGACCTAATGCTCTACTCGAATCACTGTGGCTTCCAACTGGTATAAAAAACCGGGCAATCTCCATTAAGGTTGAATCAAACATGCGAAAGAAAACCCAAGCTTCAGACACAAACCCTACTTAAAAGAGAGAAATCTCAGATTTTGCAGCCAATATGGAGATTAGAAGAGGGAACCCCAATCACAAGCATTAGAAGCTGGCAGTCAATGTGTGATTGCAGTAATGCTGGCAGTTTCCCCGTTGCAAGAGAGTGAGAGGACTCGAGGAAACATTGAAAAAATTAGGAAACTCGGAAACACGAGGAAATTGGAAAAAGTCTGTCAGTCAATTATTGAAAGCAAAATTCTTTAATGGAATGGGCACAGAAATCTCCAGCAAAATAAAATTCCAAAATTGAAACGGTTAGGCAGTAGCACTGCTATGAATGAAACATCACTATTGATAATATACAGAGTTCTTCCACATTTGTTCACTAGCCAATAGTCACTGCCCGAGGATAGTTATTCACATGACTCTTGTCCTGTAGGAAAAAGGTCTCCGCAAATTTCCACTTTTCTTGTGGCGTATATAGCTGGACTTCACCCCACGGAACCAGATAAAACAATCCCAAACACCTCTTAAAGAATAACTCTTACAAGATCTTATTTGATCATAGACAGACAAAACAACTCTTATGCATCAAATTAGAAATCATTGGCTAATCCTAACTCAAAATATAATTCGAATGCTATTGGGATAACAGAAAAATGAGGGGAGAAGTAAGAAACAAATGCGCTATAACTCATATAATTGCATTTACAATATTGGAGTAAGGTGTGAAATATGGACTCTGACATATATATTGTTCTAGCAACAATAAAAACAGGCAGCAAGCCTATGAACTTAAAGTAAGTATTAAGAACATATTAGCAGTTACTTGAATATGAAAGACACAAATCCATTCAACAATTGTCACACTCTATATTGTCGTTGGATTTTGATATTAAATTATAAAGGATGTACTAAAATGGAAATAAAAGGGTGAAAGGACCTAATAATAAGCTAACATCACCCACATATTGATCCCTCTTTAGCAACAAATCCAATTTATGGCATCATTTCAAGTACAACATATTTTCTACTCCAGCTATGTTGTATGCTATCAATGCACTATTGACCAATTATATCAAATGTCTATTATATAACTGATGCAGAACATTTCCAGCATTTTCAAATTGTATTTTGAACTCTGGGCTCAGTCTTGTAACTTGCTGGACACAATTTGTAAATAAAAGATCACAAGAAATTATAAGTTTAATTATACTCAAACAAGTTAAATTCCTGTATAAAATTTCCATTTCATATTCGTTTAGGGTCATATAACAATAAAGGCATAATGCATACACTATAATTTTATTTTAAACTTATTCCTTCATTCTTTTTTTGTATTTATTCTTATTCTTTTTATAAGCAAAGATCTGAAAGTCATTTGCATTGACAGGGATACATTTAGTTTCATCAATCTGTTGCCCCTCAAGATCCTTTTTAGCTTCACTGTTTAAGTAAGTTAAATGAAATGAAATTTCATAATTTATATACACAAATGGGTTCATCCAGATCTACCCATAATTTGCTCTTTGCAAGCGAAACATTTGCGAAATCCAGAGAGCTTAAAAATTCTAAATTTAATATTGAAAATTCCCAGAAGTCAGAACAATGCACCAATTTGAAAGATGCACCGATAGTTTCTGCGATTCTAAACTCTTAATTATCAAATATAACATCGACTTGTTATTCACCAAAACCCACAAACACAATAACCAACCCTGCCCATTCAACATGCATACCTTCTGATCAAATTTCTACTTAACAAAAATCTTCATACTTGACATACTGACAACTAAAACTGTCGGTGTCATTCGATCACTATCTGGTAAACTTCAACTCAAGATTACAGAAAAAACAATCACAAATTGACAGGAATTAGAATAATTTTAATTATCGTATAGGGAAAACTTTGTTTTAACTAAAGATTAATGTTGCGACGAGCTGTAGATTAGAAATTATGAACCATTGAAAATGCCCAATTTCTGTAATTTAACCCAAATTGAACTCAGAGGAAGTTAACTCACACAACTTAAAATGCATCTCTAAAATATCCATTTGATAAGAAAACATGTGAGATCCGATTTTTACAGGGTAAATTCAAAACTCAAAATTTATACCGATGGGAAATAAATAAATAAAAATAAAAAGGAGAGGGAAGCTAATCATACTTCTCTCTCCAAGAGTAAACAAGGAAGAAAACCCAGGAGAGTGCCAAGAGAAAATCGCCAACTGTTTGCCTGAGCCAATCCCAGGCGAGATCCTCGACCTTACGTTCAAAGTAGATCCTCCACATAGCCATGAAGACGTGAAGGAGCGTGCAGCCCTTGGCGAAGAAGGACTGAAAATCACGGTCCCTTACGAAGGAAACCATGAAGAGGAGGAACCCGATGGCAACGAGTAGCAAGCCGGAGAACGAATCGGAGGTTTTGATGAGTAATTGGTCGTGCGGCGTGGATCCGAGAAGCTTCGTCGCCGTCTGCACCCCATGCCCGAAAGTGTAAACCTCCTTCATGTAGAACATCATGAGGGCCCCACAGGTCATCGCAATCAGAGAGTGCAGAATGCAGATCACGAAAAACGCCGACGACGATCCCATTGATCGAACGGACAGCGAGCAATTGAAATTTTCAGGGCTTGCACATGGTGAATGTTATTTCTGTAAAACCCTAACCCTCAGCTCAGAGCTTTGGGAACAAGAAGATCAATGAAATGTTATAAAGTTTTTTTTTATTGAAATTTGGAAAAAATATTTGTGACGAAAGTTGTATCATTTTATATCATAATTATTGATTTTCCTCAATCAACTTTAGATCAGATTTTCGTCAATCAACGGTTATAATTTATGGGTTTGTTTTTCTGCAGTTATTGCATATAAGTTACCTACAGTAAGTCTCATACGATATCATTTTAAGACGAAAATTATGTTATTTTTGTAATTTTAATTTATTTCAGAGTTATTATAATCTTTATAATTATAATTTTTTAATCTTTCAATCCAAAACGACATTGTTTTAGAAGTAAATACAAATAACTTATTTGCATTAACTGTAAAAATATTTTTTGATAATTTATTGGATCAAACTTATTAATTAATTAATTATAAATTAAATTCAATATATTATAATTTAGATCAAACTTATTAATTAATTAATTATAAATTAAGTTCAGTATATTATAATCGTTAATTGATAAAATCAATTATTAGCATCTAAAATAACCTAATATTGTACAATTTAAAAGATAATGCTGACAAATATTTTCCCCTTCCAATTTAGCAAAGCTTCGATAAGAAGAAAATGGTAATTTGACGTAAGGGAGAGATTCTAAGATAAGGATCCAGTGGGATCCACCCTGGTACCGCTTTATATTATAATTGTCGACGAGGACGACACGTGGCAACGTTTTCATAGAGATTCTGATCTCGATTCGGTGGAAAATGGATTTTGTGTACTTGTGCATTTCTAGATTACTACTCATACTTATCTCTTTAACCGACATTGCCAACAAATTCATAAACAATAAATTAAGGAAGGGATAGAATAATCAAATAATGTTTCAACGTTATTATTAATCAATTTAATCGTTAGATTAATTATGTTAATTTAACGGTTATATTTATATTTGTTTTTATCTTTGTATGATTATAATTTTTCATATTTTATATTTTATATTTATTTTCATCTTTGTATGATTATTATTTCTCATATTTAATGCTTTCACTTTAAATATGAGAAATTATAACCATACAAAAATAAAATAAATATAATCGTTAAATCAACATAATCGATCTAACGATGAAATTGATTGGTAGTAACATTAATAATAACGTTACTTAATTTTTACAATATTCGTCCCCGTTAAGGAAATACTCCTCTTTTTTCACAGGATATTGCCATCTTATGTTATAAAAAAAATGAATAAGTCTCATCATAAAAAAAATGAGAAAAATTATCTCCGACAATTGAAGAGTAATATAAAACCCAATAAATTATGCATCTTTCGAGAAAATCTTGATTTCTAGGTTGTTGTGTCGCCAATTAAATAAGAAGAAAATCAATATTATGGACTTCAATGCCAGCCTCATTCGGATATGAAAGATAAAATCACCCGACAGGAATCAAGAGGGAAACAATAGGGTATGTGGAGATTCTTTGGTAACTTTTCGTCACTTTTATTAAACAGAAAGAACACATCATGAATACATCTTTCTTGTAGTGAAACTATACTTTTTTTCCTATGATAATGGAACAACAAAATGGGTTACCACGTGAGGAATTTGGTCGCAAGTGGCAACCCATATGATAATTATTGAAGACTTTTTTACCTCTATATACAACAAAAAATCAATAACGATGGACAATTGCACAAAGTAAAAAAAGAATGAGAACGTCTATGTGGAATGAATACAGCACTCATCTTCCAAAATTTCCCTCCAGCTCTGCAATGAATGATTTTTGTAGGTGGAATGCCGAAAAAAGAAAAAAAAAAAAAGTTATCATATAAACACCCTTACAAAAACTTTTAATTTGGTTCAATGTCCCTACTTCCAGCCACAACTTTGCGGTGGCGCCTAGAACCCGGTCTCCTATGCCTTCCAGGGCCTCTCCTAACAACCTTTTCAGGAGAAGCTTCAAGCACAGGCAATGGAGGAGGAGGAGGTGGTGGAGATGGAGGTGGAGGTGGAGGAGTGAGAGCAACATTTACTGGTGCAGCCAGGCGCTCCAATAGATCCCTATGGTATTTCTGTAAGCACGAAAAAAGATTTGAATTACAGTTGAGTGAGTGAGATTGTGTAACCATGAAATCACATAGCAATGAAGCTGGTTTCAATAAGGTTTATTAGAGACCAATCATATTGTATTCTAAGAAGCCTATTTGCAAAGCCAGAACTGTCCCCTCTGAGACAAAATAAAATAATTACCTGAACTACAAAGTTGCGTCTTTCACAATCCAAGAACATGAGAAAATGAAAATCCACCCTCGACAAAAGTTTGTCCCTGACAGTTGAGAAACTAATCTGGTCCCTAGAAGTAAATCGGTCAACTTCATTGAACCAAAGACAAGTGAAGAGGTTGCTAATAGGAATATGTTCTCGTACTATTACACATCCTTCAGGAACATCTGCAATTTAACCATTAGGGTTGAGAAAATTAAAGCGAAAATTGAACCAACTGCATCTCATCCCACAAGGAAAGAGGAAGTTTAGCCTACCACTTATAAGAGGAAGCTTGGCCTCTGTATATGGAGCCAGTCCCTCATTCTTGTAAAACTCGATCTGAAAGTCAATGGAGGCATTATCATACTTTCCAGCAACTTTATTTGCCTCGGCCTCAACAAATACATCAAAGCGTTTGTAATGTTTAGATATCGCAAAAGTTGCATTGTTCCTCCACAAAATCCTAAATATGGATGAGAGTAATTTAGGTTCCAAGAAATGTATTGTATTGAGAAAAAGCAGAATAAAGCTGGTACAAAGTCAACACAGGTATGAATATATCCCCTAATAAATTACATTCAGGGACATACCCCAAACCAGCATATATGAAATCCATAATACTCAATCTTGATTTTCATGTAAAATAAGGTATATATCAAGATCTTGATCACATGGGAACTTGGATAGCCACTCAAAATGCAAAGCAAGACTTAGCATAGAGCAGGATGAGAAGAAGGATCTAACAGAGTCAATGGCAAAACCAACAATATAGGGCAGCCAAAATGCAACAGAAAGGGGAAAAAACAAAACAGAAAATAACTAAAGAAGCTGCTGATAACTAAATTTTACAGTCTCCAAATATTATTTCTATATGCTGAAGTAGGCATATGACAAGAATCTAATACTTCAAACCAGAAACATTAATGCTATAATCCTACAAAATATGTTCTGAAGGAAAGCTCTTAGAGGTGATAAGTTATAACTCCATTTATGCTATCTCCTGATGAGTTATAATGTTAGTGAAATAGCAACTTGAAGAAATGCCTACACCACATGGAGACAATTAATTATCCTAATTTATGATTAAAACAAGCTGAGATCAAGATTTCTGATCCAATCTTATCTACAGCATGCACTGATGACTTAGTCAGTAGTCTTGGGCTTCTACTTTTTATGTGAGGATAGCTTTGTTAGCCCAAAAGGGAATTTCTAGATTAAGTAGTCTAAATGGTACTTTAGGACCAGCAAGTTTAGGAAGACGCTAAATGACACAAACATGGTTTATTAGGAGCCCAATTGAGCCACTGTTACTCTACGGGGGACAAATTGAAACCAGGACCATAATAGGGTTTGAGTTTCTGATTCATGTTATACTCACTTTCCATTGCTATGCTCTGAAAAGTATATTTATTGGTATGCAACCCACTGAAACATGCAATAGAGGCAATTTCACAGCTTGGGTTTTGGCAACCATATTAAGGCAACAAACTCTATTCTAAGACCAATATTATTTTTCTTCATTAAAACTTATACTGCAGCCAACACCTCAACAACAGTGAAATATAGAAGCATTTTGTGGTCTAGAAAGATTAAAAGGCCACCTTGTGTGGGAAATAAATGAAATTGTTTGACTTTAAAAAAATTTCAATGCCATGTTATGATACAGAAAGAACCCGAAAGATATTTAAGGAGCAACAACCACATAATAAAATATAGCGTAATTGTGAAACTGAATGAAAAATAGACAAATAAACATTCTTGGTAAAGCCAAGAGACTTATACTACTTGTATATATCCATCCCCACACCTCCTAGTGTGTCTGTGGTAGTAAGTAGTCACATTAAGGTTGAAATTAAAAAATTACGAGTCAATTCTGCCCAAGCAGTATATGATATATATCTCGAGCACAATTAGACAGAAAAGTGAACCTCATGTCAGATGGTGTACAAATGTAGGACTAATTGACATCTTTACATAACTTTCACATGTAAAATGAATCGGAATGTATCAAAGGGCGAACTGAAATATACCTTTCAACAATTTGATATGGATCAACAACAAGCTCAAGCTTTCCATCAATCCATATAGAGTAGCGGGCATTAGGAGCCATTCTATGCAACAGAAGCTTCGGAATCTGTGGAAAAGGTAATTAAGTTACTAGTACATAAAAGTACTATCGGAACAAGAAAACACAACGGTGTCTAGGTGAGATATTTTGGTTATTTCAATTCATACCGAAAAGCTAAAATTATATTTTGAAAGAAAGGAATAGTCATAATGTTCAGACAAGAGGATCTAGCCAACATTAGTCTCCTTATCTAAGTTTTTTTTTTCTTCCACTTCCCTTTCTGTGTATGAAGGTCAGTCAGTGTAGCATATTAACTCCTTCAATGTAGATTATAGAAAGATGAAGCCACAGCCAACGATATTAGTTTTCCACAGCAATGGTCAGGTCATAAAGAAAAGAAAAACAATGCTTCAGCAACAAATATACTAACAAACGATATGCTAATTCCTAGTTCCCAGTCATGATGGTGCAAGCTGACATATACTTCTGACCTTTCCTGTGCGCCTTGCATCTGTGTAAGGAAGATTACGAGCAACAATAATTCTCCATAAACCAATCTTCTTGCTGATTCCCAGCCTGCCAGAACTCCTCAAATATTTTTCTGTTATTTCATCTACAAACATAAGGAAGCATACAGTCTTCCTTGAATAGTCGCTAATATTTGACGGTTCATTTATCTCGTCAAAATTTCCTGAACAACATAATTAATTCATCAGTAAAGTACCAGCTTAAACAACTAATTAAAAGTAGAAACCACGTAATACAGACCAAATATGGCTGATGCAACAACTATGCCACGACACTGCTCCATAGCTAGGAGGTCATCTTCATCCATGTCAAATCCTGTGTTCTGTCCAGGTTTGATTCCTCTTACAAATCTGAATGATGTACACATGCATCATTGAAGATGCAGAATGGACAGATGTGAGTAAAAGGGTAGAGAAATATCCTATATTACAGGGACAGACAAATTATCACCACAAAGAACATTCTTCAGTGCTTATAGATATGCATAAGGTAAACATCAAACATCCAACAAAAGCCAAAACATACCCGCAATGCACATTCATTGACTCTCGAATATCAAAAGAATCATTTCTCTGCCTCAAAGTAGGATATCCACCAAAGTCTGAACCACCAAATTCTCCATCTCTGCTTAGATTTTCCTCGTAGATAAATGTTAAATTCTTAAGTACCGGAGAAGGTGAGGGAAACTTTGGCATAAGAGCAATGGCTTCATTCACAGGAAGGTAACATACCGGGCAGGCTGAAACACATACAAGCAGATTTATTCAGTAGCAATACCATTAACATTAACAAGCCTATAATATAATCTAGGCCCTCCATATCCTCAAGAACTACCGAAATTGAGGAACTAATTGATATCTTCAGGAAAGATGGATACTATTGCAAATTACTAAGTATAATATAACCTAATGTAAGATATATGTGGCAACAAAAATAGTAAAACTAGAACTTACGCCGTGGCCCGGTACGCTTTTTATCAGCTGGTGGGGGAGGAAGTATGAAACTATTACACGGATGCCCAGGAGGAAGAGTGTAACCCAGAAAATAGCTTGGGGGAGGAGGGGGTAGTACCAAACGTGTAGTGAAGCCCATGATATTTCCCGTAGAGATCATAGATGGAGAATCACTTATAGACATACTTTCATTAACGTTAAAGTTCTGCACGCTGTTTCCCTCCTGTGAATCTTCACCTGAAAGCAACCCATATCACGCAAAATTAAAGTTGAAATCAAGTGAATCATATTACAAAGTTTTCTTCCTTTGCCTGCAAAAAAGGAACTCCTCGGCATGCATCCTATAATTAATCATATTTACCAAAATGAAATTTAACAAACAGCTTAACATGTGTTTACCATGCAAATTGATAAAGTAACAGAAGACCCTAAAAAGGCACGCAACAGCACAATCACATTGCAGTTGCATAATTAAAACTAAAAAAGTTATGCATAAAAAGGAAGGAAGAAAGAGTGAGAGAAATTGAGAAACCTTTTCCAACGTACAAAACCCAGACGAAAACAGCAGCGGAGATGGCAGAGAGAAACAGCATTCCAACCTTCTTTCTGCCAGCAAACTTGCAGATCCAATGGAACAACCTCTCTTTCTCCTTCAGCATCTTGGAAGGTTTGCGTGCTGTTTGAATAGACGACACTCCGTTTTGTAGCTGCTTCTCCAAAGAACCATTACTACCAGAACGAATACCCAATCCCAATGAACCACCACTCATCTTTTCTCTAAACCCTCAAAATCCCCTCTCATTGCCCTCCACACCCTCTCATCAAAAATTTCCTCATTTCAAGTATTCAACACACACCCACTTCACCAATTTGCACCCCCAAACTCTCAGGCAAACGAAGAGGGGAAAAAAAGAAATAATACAGTGGCAGAAGTAAGAGCAAAACAAATCAAACTTGTGCTGTTAGAAAAACCAACTGAAATTCGATTATATTGCACTGAAACAAAAATTGGGTCCTAAGAAAAACTCTCCCTTTCTTCCAAACAGGGGATGAATCTAGAATTTTCTAATTCACCCTGCAGGGTTTTTAGCAGAGAAAATCTGGGTTTTCTGAAATCCAAAACTTGGAAGAAATCTGCGATTCCAAATTACAAGTGGTACTACAAAATTTTTATTTTTTATTTTTTATTTTTATTTTTTATAATGCTGCTGAATTTTGGAAAACGGTGACCTCAGAGAAGAAACTTTCATGCAATATTTATACGATGGGATTTACAAAATTATTGAGAGAAAAAAAAATGTGGAAGTTTGTGATAGGTTAGTCTGCGTATATGCCAATTGTCTTGCCTTTCAGACACTGATATCTTACTCGGCGTGAAATGGAAATATTGTGTTACCCCAACTCGTTCTTCACATTTGGCTTATGGGGTCAATTATCATTGATTCAATATTTATTATAAAAATTTGGTATTTTTTTTTTTATACAACAGTGGCACTAAGATTTATATTTATAATCTCATATAAATTATTAAATTCTCTCATCAGAAAACTAATCTTAGGGCATGTTTGGTGCATAGTATAGGATAAGGCCTGATAGTATAAGATCTGATAGAATAAGGCCTGATTGTATAAGACCTGATTGAATTTTAATACTATCAAGCGTTTGGCACGGTATTGTATAAAATAATATATTGTATGAGATAATATCATCTAGTATTTGATAATGCACTGCATAATACTATATATAATAAAAATAAATATTTTTAATAAAAATATATTTTAATAAAGAATTTATATAATTCTTTAAAAAATGTCATATGATATTAATTTTTATAAAAATTAATTGAGCAGTGTGTCCAAAATATAAATTAATTTTTATAAAAATAAAAATATTCAATATTTTAAAAATTAATATATTGAAAAATAAATTTTTATTTTAATAAATTAATATTAAAATAATATATTAATTTTTGATAATTACATTGGTCAACGATGTTAATACATCAATCTCTTATCAGGTCTTATCTCTCACCCTTAGGTCAGATTAAGTTATACATCGTTTTGATGTATTAAGGGATTATGCTGTATAAGCTTATACTATACGGTGGTCACACCAAACAATTGAAAATGTCATAACGTATAATATAAGCTTATACTATCATACCTTACACGTCACACCAAACAGGCCGTTGGTTTAGACCAATCTTAGTGATTTAAGATACATAAAGATATTTATGCAGTTACGGCAGATAAGTTATCTGTATTACTCCCAAAACAATGTCATTTTGGGATTAAAAAATTAAAAAAATAATTATAAAGACTATAATAATCCTGAAATAAATTAAATTACAAAAACATCATGGTTTTCATTCTAAAATGACGTCGTGTTGGACTTACTGCAAATAACTTATTTGCAGTTATCCCAGAAAAAGCTAACTTTTAATATATATATATATATATATATATATATATATATATATATATATATATATATATATATAGGGTCAGGATCATTTTACACCAGTGTAAGTTACACTCTTAATCTTGTTCGTTGATCCCATTTATATCTAAGGGCTCAAATTTTATAGTTATGTGAGCCATTGGATACAAGTGGATCAATGATTAAGATTGAGTGTAAGACTTCTAACTCTTACACGGGTGTAAGAATATCCTGCCTCATATATATATATATATATATATATATATATATATATATATATATATATATATAAGAGGTAAGATCCTTTGACACCAGTGTCAAATTTGAATTTTGACACCTTATCTAATGGCTCTCAGATGAGGTGTCAAAATTCAAATTTGACACTGGTATCAAAGGATCCTACCTCTATATATAATTGATTAAACCAGAAAGAATATGGTAATAATAATTTATCATTAGTAATTAATATTTTAACAGAAAATTCGTCTAAGACCATTACGCTTTGCCGCGCACCGCCTGTTCTGGATGATTGTTGTCATTTTCTTTTTAACGTGATCTTAATCTTTGCAATAACTCCTATGTTTATCTTTAATAATTTAATCAAATTTTCTTCTCTGAAAAATAAATTAAAAAATTATTTTTATTAAGGTATAATTATTGCATGATTAATCTATAGGATTGTGGTTACTAAACCACCAATAATGGGATGGGTCTATTTGATTGTTTCTATTTTTTTTCTTAAAATTATTTTGTAGAATAATTATGGAAACATGTAGTTTCTGTAATTTTTTCAAAACAAAAACAACTCAAACATGTTCTCTAAATTTAATTTTAAAAACAAAAAAAATAGTTGCAATTTTTAAATAAAAAATAAAAAAGGCATTATCAAATAAATTTTTTTTTGAAAACCAAAAAACTGTTTTTAGAAACAATATTTATACAAGGCATTTATATTCAGTTTTTATTTTCGACATTTAATTTGGGGTGTGGAAGGAGCTAACTTTCTATCCTGTAAAAATGCATGTAAAATTATTTCAGCTATGTTTTTAAAACGCGGTTTTTAAGATCTATACACAAACGTGGTTTTCAAGATCTATACACAAACAGTGATATTTAGTCCCATTTTTTAAAACCCATTATCTGTTTTGTTTGGCAATTTAAGTGCCCCATATTAATATTCTCATTTGATAAAACATATTGTCAATATTATTGCTTCCTTATGCAGAATGGTTCGTTGTCTTTCCCTTTCTTTCAAAACATTACTCATTAATAGCCTACACACAATGAGAAAATACTACAAAATGCTGACACAATTGACGCCACAATTTCTTCCACTAACGTATGTCGAAAATAACATTTTTTAAGACACTAGCGCCTTTAAAAAAAAAAAATAAACGGTAAGATCAACCTTGGTTAATTAGCAGTAAAATACGGTCAAGTTAATCCTTAAATTTGGCTTTAGTCAATAACAACTCAAAGAATTTGGTAAATTTATTCAACCATTATTTGTCCGGTATTACGTAAGCAATTGTCTGTATAATTTTATTCAAAAAAAATTATAAGAAGAAATAATTTGTCAACGTCCTTTTTTACAGCATAATTATAAATAATCAGTTTTCCAATTTTAAAATTTTATATTTTCTTATCAGACAGAGAGACTAAATTTAATGGATGGGATTTGATATGTGAAAGAGAATAAGTCACATCTCGAACTAAATTACTCGGATAAACATTGAATAGGTGAATATAAAAAAAAAAAAAAAATCACGACCGTCGCTTGTGATATGAATTTGTCAATTTATGATATATTTCATTGGTTTTTTTTTTTTTTTAATACAGATCTTTCATTGGTTTTAAATTGTATACAACCATGCATCTCTTGGGGAAGTTGTTTTCCATGATTTTGTAAGTATGCTAACAAATTGCATTACTATGTCAATATGTCATTATTGTGATTAGACAATCATGAGTATGACGCCATCTTATGTTTTGAATGTTATGAATATCACAAACCACCAAAAAAAAAAAAGTTGTTATGAATATCACAATTTTGTAAGATCTGAATTTCATCTCCACCTAATTAAACGGATGTCAATATATTTTACCACGTAAAGAAAAAAAATCACAATCATATTTCTGGTTATAGTTTGATAGTAAATTAGATTGACAGACTTTATTACTTTTACTTGAAAAACAACAAGAGTGATATGACATGAAAAGAAAAAAAAATTAACAGGGATTGTTGTAGTTTAGACTTTAGAGTGTGGTCCTGCCCAGTTCATCAATGCGCAATTTTCCATATTTTGTCTTGTGAGCAGAATAGGCAGTGAAGAAACAAATATGCATGCTTATGGCAAGGGGTGGTCCATAACTACATGGAGTCTTCCTCAACAAGGTTGTTTCGTAATTCAGGAAAACCAAGGGCTTGTTTGGATTTTTATTAGGGTTTAATGAGTGTCCTTTTAAAGGACACAACACAAGTTATGTTTTTTTTTTTTAACTATTTTAACTATTTATTTCTGAAAATACATAATTATAATATTAAATTATATTTTTTTCTTTTCTTTTTAGAAGCTGTCTACTAAAGTGGGGAAAAAAAGATAAATTTATTTGTACTTTTTTCACTTTCCACGTCCGCAGACAATTTCTAAAGAGGGAGAAAAAAAGAGGATAAATTTAATATTATAATTATACATTTTCGAAAATAAATAATTAAAACTGATAAAATAACATAAGCTTGTGTCATTTAAAATGACACTTCTTTTTTCCTTTTTATTATTCTAAAAAATTGTTTTGTAATACAAAACTGTAAAACTTATTTGAAAATTAAAATAAAAAATAACAAGTTTATATGATTTATTTTGAGAATAAGTTTGAAAAACAAAAAAATAGGAAAATTCGTTTCGAAAAATGACTTTATGGCCTAGAAGACTGTGCATATGGAATCTCAATTACCCAGACGACCCAAAATAGAGTGTATGTGTTGCAGTTTTTAATTTACCGGTTGAGATTTATTTAACTACATATATTGTCAGAGGATAATATAAATCATCAAAAAAAAAATTCAGCCAATACCTTAAAGTTTTGTGTTAAAAATTGAAATGGTTCTTTATACAGTATTGTATTTTCTTTTCCACGGCACTTTTTCACTCAATTTTCTCTGAATTTCTTTCATTTTCCTTTCAAGCTCTCCGTCCTTTCTTCATTCCAATGGCGCAAAATCCACTTTTTGATCACTACAGCAATCCTTATTTCTTACATCCCAATGAAAATCCATCATTGATACTCATTTCTCCTCCTTTGAATGGTAGAAATTACCATACTTGGGCACGCGCAATGATCGTCGCTTTCACCTCCAAAAATAAGCTGGGATTTGT